GCATGGGTTAAAAAGAGTTTACAAGAACTGTGTGTGCGTGTGCCTGTGAGAGTGTTTAAGCACACACACATGCACACACTCAGAGCGAACAAGTCGACTCTCGAGTTCTAAGTCGAGTTTTGTTTGTGTGAAGTTGGGATGTCCCATTTAGTCTCGCCTTTGAAGCCCCTGGTGTGGTGCTTTTAGAGGGGGAGTGCATTGATGTGGACAGGGGACCAATGTGGCTCGTTGTTTTCCATACACACTGAAGAGACAGACAGAGAGACCTCCCCTGGTTCTTGGCAAAAACACTGAGGCTACAAGTGCTACTAATGGCATTCATCTGCAAACTGTAGCAAACATGCGCCTCACTATTTTGTGAGCTATTTTAGGCCATCAGTGTCGAATAATGTCCTTCTGCATGTTTATTTTAAATCGTTTGAACAGATTGTCATTCTGACTTCTGAATTTTATAATCAAAAGAAGAATCTAATATTAACATTGAAGGTAATTTTCCTATTTGGGTGTATGTTGTGTTGTTTTGGCCATCATTTCTAAGTAATTGTTGAGATGGGAACTTGCCAGCCCATCACTACAACTGCATTCAGTTGTAAACAAGCAAACTACCTTTTAGCCAGATTATCTGACCCTCTTTATTTGGAGGTAATAATCCCTTATTGAACAGGAGCTACAGAAAGCACAGCCGGTCAAGATTGAACAAGAAGTCAGACCTCTGACTTCTGATGTTTAAATGGACAGTTTGGGTAATAATTTTATGTTTGCCTTTGTTGTCTTTCTCAGGTTTGGCTAACCTGAGGGTTTATTTAAAACCCATCTGATTAGAGGAGAAAAATTATGACCAAAACTACAGAACTAAGACTGAGGTTATAATCAACTGAAATTATACTTTAATGCCCCAATTCACTTTTAAATTACAACTAAATTCAGACCGTTGTGTTGTTTGACAGCGGGATTGGTTTGATTGAAAACTTTGTTTTTATTTATTTGAGAGAAAGAAGCTGCTGTTTTTCAACTTAGCTAAAGCTTTGACAGATGAGTGTAGGAAAAATCATTTCAGACTTGAAAAGTAAAAGAGAAAATCATTGACCAAAGAAGCAAAGAGATTGAAAAATAGTAACATCATCTTTGTGACAATGCAAAGAGTTTCTTGAACGAATCTGATTTACATCTGATCAGAAGTACTTTATATCATTATTGATCTGTCTTTAATCTTTACGTTTTTTGGATGGAGCATCTTAAGGGCATGACGCGAAAATTCACTGATTATTTCACATAAAATTTGGGGTCACACACACCCTGGAAACCTGGAGTTCTGTAATGCAGCTTTGCAAAGTTCCAATATGTGAAATCAAGACAGCAAATTTTTTTCTTGTCTGCACCAAATCATGGTTGAAATACTTTTGTTTTGTTCAGGGATGAGGCAAAAGTGACCTTTTTAAAGAGCAACTAATCTGATTGCTTCGGAATTCCAGTGGTTTAAGGTCTCATCTTGCTGCAGTGATGTACAGGTGTGCTCCAGGGTGTGTCAGTACACTGTGACATCACCAGCACACCCTCAACCAAAAAATGGCCATATAGCTTGATTATGCAACAGCTATTTACAACCCATATTTACGTTTTTGCTAGGCCGCAACCTCCAGCGTATGACGGTAGCAAAAGAAGAAGTAGTATAAAGAGCGACAAAGGAGGAGGTGCGGTGGATGGACATGTCAAGGAAACTCAGGACTTTCACTCAGAAGACCGAGGTTTGAGTCCTGCATGAAAGAAAGTCAAAATTGGCTTGTAACATTTTGTAGGTGACTTACATAAGATTCATATTTTAACCCAAACCATGATCTTTTCCTAAACCTAACCAAGGAGTTCTATTGCCTTAACCTAACCAAACTACGACCATTTCACAAAGTTTACCAAGTGTTAAACGTCATGTGATGTACTTAGGGTCCGGTATTTCCGCCACTGGGAAGGTCGTTTTGGGCAAAGGTCAAATGTCAAATGACATAATTTTGGGTCAATTGACAATTGACCTATTTTGTCATTTAGGTATGAGGACATGTTGGACATCACAGTTGAGTGTGGTTAAAGGTGCAAAAGGCTTGAAACCTTTGACCAAAGGAGGCAGCACTGCTTTTCAGCCTGGCATTACGGTTCTCTTCAGCACTGTTGCATCTGCGTTGCCTATAACTCCGACTATCAGAGATCATGGAAATTGAATTTCCTGTTAAACTGGAGTCGGGCTTCATGTTTAAGTTCAGGATATGTTGAGCCAGATTTCTAGTATCTGTTTCTCTTGATCCCTCTGGAAAACACAATACATCTTGTCAATAAACATCTGACGCACTGAAACATACGACTGGTTTGAGATGTGACCGCTGTTCAGCAGGCATGCTGCTCTACTGCTGGATGTGAGTTGGGACTACTAAGAAAACCAGAGAGGTGGAGGTCAAGAGTCTGTTTCAGGTGAGCTGGAGGCCTCCTGATAAGAGCTGCTGGCCTTGAGGCAGTAAAGAGATAACCTGTGGCACTGTGTTTATGGGATGGGGAAAACACACACACAAGCAATCTCCTACACATTAGAAACATGCCTGCACACTCATGGGTCTGCAGAGCTAATTCGAACGAGACCTGATGGGGATGACACACACGCACACACACACTAATGCTCGAGCGAGATCTCAAACAGATGGGGATCTCCCGCCATTTTCAGAGTATTGCAATAGCCATGTTGCTTACTGTTGTTACCATTTTATATCGATGTGAGGCAACGTCCCCAGATGGCATTTTCTGCATGCTTGAGAAAAGACAGCAGTAAATGATACTGTCCTGTTGCCGATGACTACCATGTGTGCAACAATAAATTAAAGAGTATTTCTTTTCTTCATAAACATTCTCACACATACTGTGCACACACACACACACACACACACACACACACACACACACATGTATTTTTGTCTTGCATAGACATTCCTGTCCAGCCCTTTGTTGTGTCTTTAATGAGTTTTACAGGCTCTGTCTGTGTCTTAGTTGTGTTTTTGAAACATTCTTGTGCTTATTGCCACTGTAACAGTACAGTGTCTGCTCTAAATAGACAACCTCACATCCACTTTTTTTCTCAGGCCGCTGATTAGAGGGAGAGTCTCCTTTCAAAGATTGTTCTCGTCTTGACCCAATAGCTGCATGCTATTTAATTCTGAGTCAGTAGTGCCATAGTTTACACAGCGAGAGACACTCGGAGGTTGGAAAATCAAGACTATTATTAATGGCCTTGATGAAACCCCTTTCAAACTAACAAAAAGAGGCAACTTGGCCTCAGACATTTAGCTATTTAAATGATAGTATAGTAACAGGATTAGAAGAATACTGGTATTTCTCTGCTGAAAAAGTCCAAAGTTGGTAATCTGTACACCTTTTTTTTATTGAGAGAAGCAGCATCATTGTTGCTAAGCACTTTTTTGTGCTGTCTCAAACAAACAGTTGCACTACTACGAAGTCCATTGGTGTAGGTTTTCTGTCTGAAGTTTGACCCTGTAGGTGGTTTTATTTGTTTAGTTGTGATGCCTATCTCTACTACCATCGCTTCTCCAGCTCGCTATCAGGTTCTCCTTCCATTTTCCTTCTCTTTAATTTAAATTTGCAGAACGAACGCCGCCTTAGGAACCCCAAGGAATGACCTACCAGACAAAAGCTTTCATCTGCTTACATGAGGTGGGTTTATGCAAACCTTTACTGCATTTTATTTTTGACTAAGCTAATGAGCCAACACAAAAACAAATCCAACAGGTAATAAGCCCTGCAAGTCATGAAGACAGATTTAAAGGAAATGTTTGGCATTTTGGGACAATCGTCATTCTTTTAGTAACTTTTTCAACCTGGATTACTTTTTCCCATGTGTTTGTGTCTATGTGACTAATTGGGACAACATTTTTTCAACCTGGTCCAGTATTGACTTCAGCATGAAACAGGGAGGCAACGTAATCATTTGGCAATTGTACCCCGTCAAAGTATGTCCACCAAAATGTTTGTTTTTACCACTGACAGACTCATGTTGTTAACATTATGGAAAGGATCCCTACAGAGATAGACCTTTTTAAGAGTAAGAAGCTTTTTGTTTAACCAGAAACAGACACTATATCGCTCTGTTCAAAGCCACCAGACTCCACTGATAAAAACAGTAATTAAATCTTACCTCGCATAACACAGGAGTTGCTGATCTACTGCTACTTCGGTTGGTTACTTTGTTTGTTTTATTGTGTGGCTTTTGTGTTATAAAGGGTTAAAAACACCAAAGTCACACAATAACACAAACTAACCGATTGAGGCAGCGGTACACCAGAGCGGTAAAATTACTATTTTCGTCAAAGGAGCCTGGTTGCTTTGATGAGAGGCCAGGTTGAAGTTTCCCTTTAAATGAAAAGATTGATACCACTTTTATGTACCGTCAATATAAAGCTATAGGCAGGAGACGGATAGCTTAGCTTAGCATAAAGATTCCCCTTGTTTCCAATCTTTATGCTAAGCTAAGCTAACTGGCTGCACTAACTCTCAACTAGAAAGCAAATAAGCTCTTTCCTACAATGACCATTCTCAGCTTTTCCTTTAAGGATGCAAAATCCTGAGGTCAGTTGTTGCAACAACATGCACCTCTTCAGATCTTGAGTCAAGCACGGGCCGTGGCTCGCTACAGTTTAGGGACACAGCACCTACTGTATACTCTCAAACCTTTGCACATGTGGTTGTGGTAGTGTTTATCAGTTGGTGGTGACAGCGTAGTGGTAGCATTAGCATAATGAGAATTTATTTGTTTGAAAAGATTGTTCTAGTAAATAAATGATTTAGCACTTTACACATGATTAACTTTAATTTTTAATTATAATTTTAGGCACCAAAGGCCTTGGCTTGCAAAATAGCTAAGGTCTGTAATCACACCATATATTTAAAAACTTGACAAATGCATATGAAGGTAAAGGTGCTAAGGTGTTTGCAGTGTCTCTCTGACTGACCGTGGGCTTGTGCTGCTGAGCTGTGGGAGTAGCCGAGGGCGAGCAGAGCCGTCTCCACCAGCTGAGAGAAGAGAATATCCTTCCTGACCAGGACAAACTCTGCATGCTCCTCTCTTCCCTCACATCTGTCTGCCTGAATCCCTCCATCCGACTGCTCCACCACACAGAAGACTGGAATCATTAGACCTGTCGAGGACGAGAAGTAAAAAAAGAGAAAACAACAAGATTCTTTAAATGTCTGGTTTTTATTGTCTGTGATCACAAAATCTCTCGTAGACGGCAAACATGTGGGTTGCATTTGTTGTGGGTCAAGCTTGTAATCCCTTCATCCTTTTCGTTTTACATTATTGAACATTGCAACACCTGAAATTCTCAATACGCTTACAATAAAGCAAGGATGTAAAACTGTACGACTGTAACAGTGCTGCTCACTGTACGCAGGACATTTCCAGGCATTTAATCTAACGGCCTATTAGATAGGCAGCCGTAATAATGGCTCCCCTAACAGATATGCAAAGATTATGCAAATACACAAAAGACCTACATGGACAACACATGCAGCTTTCATGAGAGCATTGATAACAGATAAAAACTATTCAACAACTAACAAAACAGTAAATGAGGGATTTAAATGTTAAATAATATTGTCAGTGCCGTTAATAAGCCTTAATACAGAAGTTTACGATCAAAAGACAACTTGAATTACTGTGAGTCATCCTCAAACATGCAAATTCAGGAAAGGTGAAAACCAAACCAGATTCTCCAGAAAAGTTGGCATGAAGAGGAGCTCGCCCCGCTCACACACACTCACGAACGCAAAAACTGTGACACTTTCAAAGTGTCCTTTGAACCACTTCAAAGCAACACAAGTGTTGAACAATTATATAAATTATTATCAGAAACACAATTCAAGTAAATCCAAAGAAAATTTGAACTACTGGGTCAAGAAATGCGGCTCATTGCTGTGCTTCAAACAGGCTGGGACACTAAACTAAATGATTAGATCTAGGCAAATGAAACTAATGAAAGGAAACAGTTGACGGTTGGTAGGATCCAGGATGTAGACACCAAAACCTTCTACCTACTAGGTTTTGGGACCGTCACTATTCCTTGTCGGGATCATTCATTGGTGAGGATAGTCTATTTAACCACCACGTTGTTATTTATTGTGCCATAATACTCATTCCTGATTGAGTTGACCTATGGATACGGTATAACGTGACACCATCTGAAATTTGCACCTTATAATCCTCATCTTAAATCATCGACACTGTAGCCAGCGTTTTAGTATTTCAAAAATTGATTTCACGTCATGCTGTCATAGAAAGTGACAACGTACAGAAAAGTCTTTAGATTTCAAATGCTCACACGGTTACCAGTTAACACACAAGCTAAACTAACCTTAGCCACGGATTAACAAACATGGACACATCCTCTTATTTCTGGCCATGATATATTATTATATGTTTTATGATGCACTCTAAGGCTCTAATAATGCCACTCCTCCTCCTCAGCATTCTTCACTTCTAGCTTGTTTATTACAATATTATATCAGGACACCCTGACTTGCATTGTTTCTTATTTATTTATTAGGATCTTTATCAGCTCTACATTATTGAAGATTTCAATCGAGGCAAGCACTTGTTCCTCTTCAGTATTTTCAGTATCCAAACCCAGCATCCGTGTCCTTCTGGCTGCCTGCTCTGTTATCAATCCTTCCTCTCCAATATCAGCCTTTTTCCTAAAAGGCTTTTGGTTTTGGGCCACCTGTCAACTGGCAATTAATTAAAGCTCTCTGAAGAAATGATGGAGAGAGAGCATTAGGCAGCGTCCCAGCACTAATAATACAGGGGCACGGCAATGTGTTTTACCGCATGGATACCACACAATACTGAACACACACACACACACACACACACACACACACACACACACACACATATGCCTCCCTTTTCCCAGCATGCACACAAACGCCCCTCCATACAAACACAACGAGGTGCGTGCAGCATTAACCAACCCCCCCCCCGTCCTTATCCAGATCCATCCCACCCGTTGTTTTAATCAGTCAATTCCTATATTTCTATTTCCTCCTCATTAATCACTCTGCTCCCAGTCCTCCAGGCTCTCATGGAGTGAATTACACACTGGAGCACTGTGCCAATTCAAGTAAGTGAATTTCCCCCAACAGGGAAATATAACTGTCAACACAGAGCAGCTCCCTCCGACCAGCACTCCTCTCTCTCTCCAATTCTCCCTCACCCTCTCTCTCTCTCTCTCTCTGTCTCCTCTCACTGGCTCTCTCTCGCTCCATCCTCTGTCTCCACCTCAGTCTGTCTTCTCTTATATCCAGTGTCCTGTGATTTGCCCACTGACTGTATGATCTGGTTTGGATGATGTGATGTTGCCTCAAACCTCTAATCCCTCTAATATGTATGGGGATGAGTGAACGGGATATTAAAATAAGATGTGTGTGTGTATGTGTAGTGGAGTGTGTGTGGAGTGTAAGTGTGTGTGTGTTTTGGCATCATTTCTTGGGTGTGAGTGTCACAGCGTGGAAGTTTGTAAGTCTGTGAATGTGAACATGTGTGCTTGTGTTTGCATGCTTCTCTACTTGTGTATGTGCGTGTGTGTGTGTATATATATATATGTGTGTGGCCCCCTCCTCGTGGCAGCAGTGTGGTTTGGAGGAGACACGTCGAGTTTCCTGTCTTCAAAGACAACCCGTCATTATTACAGGCCAACCATCCGTTCAGCACAGGAAACCCCTTCCTCCTTCCTCTCTGTCCCTCCCTTGTTCCCTCGTCATTTTTCTCACAGATAAATGTTTCCTTCTTCTTTCTCCATTTACTCCTTTTCTCACTTCAACACATTTATTCTTCTTTTCGTCTTACTGTGGACAAATCTGAGTCCATGCTGATTTGTTAACCTCTTTAACTCTTCCAAAACCACAGACTGGCTCATCTTTACAACATCAGACTATGCAGCCAAACACTGTTAGTAACAGTAACGGTTATTCCAACAAAGATCCCAGAGTTTTGATGAAACATTCAGAGATGAGTTTAAGGGAAGATTTGTATAAAAATGATGCACAAAATATCTAGAATATTTCCATTTGATGTGACTGGAATTCCAGTCAATGTAAACTGTAAAAATGTAAAAAGGGAATAAATAACATCACCTAAAATGTGGGTTGGAACAAAATATATGTATACTTATGTGTAGAATTTTTTTTTCTAAAAAAGAAATTAATGTTAAATTAAAATCAAGCGTTTAAGAGATATTTCTGCAAACACATGGCAGCACAAGCAGACACACAGCTGTTAAGACTGTTAAGTGCGTACACACATGCACACATAAACAAGAAACAACTTTCACAATGAAGGCAGGGATCGATAACCCAGAGTGAGTTGTATAAATCTTGTTTATATGGAGCAATCGCCTTTATTTGGTAAGCCTGTATTATACAGTTCCCCCCAGAGTTATAGATTAACAGTGCAGAAACAGCTCGGGTTCTCCCAGCTCTGCTGCCACACTACAACACAGCGCACTGAGCCAAACTCAACTCATGGCCAGGATGTGGCTCACTGCAGAGCCAAGAGCTGTCTTTGGGTTTTGTACATAAGAGCTCACAAACCTCAGACACCTGGTTGAAAAGGCAAGAACTGTTTTGAAATGTTGTCATCAGCTTTCTCTATTTCAGCAAAATGCAATTTTTCACGAATCCAATGCTGTTTGCAATTTGGAAAATAATAATTTCCCTTTGGTTTATTCCTTAGGTGTAAGATATAACTTTTTCTTTTGGCCATAAACCGCATTTTAAGAGTAGGCATCAGTCATACAAATTTAGTGCACATTTTAAACAAATTTCCAGAACATCTGCAAAAGATGCAAGTTAATGTTCTATTCTAACCACTACTCTTATGTGCATATTAAGACTTTGGTGCATTGAAAAACAATTGGTGACACTTATTCTGCAATCAGAAGCCCTTAAACCACTGCAGAAGAAGAGGAGACAAGAAGACATGAGCGCTAGTTAAACCTCATGTGTGGAAAACAATGTAGAAAATGTGATTATATTTGTTTTTAATGTGAGGAAGATTACGGCCTCCTCATCACTTCACTCACATCTGATGTCTGTGTGGAGCATAAGCTTCAGCGGACATCATCACTGATTTGCTATGTCTGTTTTCAACTTTTCAACCTCAGCCTTTTTTGCGTTATTGTGACTTTATTTTGAATTTCCGGTGTTTCCACTTCCATTTATTTTATGTGCAAACTGAAAATGTGCATACAAACAGCTGGATATAGACCCACATATAGTTAGATTGTCACTTTAAAATGGATACAATAAATAAACAACAAGAAAGGTATTCTCCTCTGACAGTTCACATATTGGCATCTTGATCAACATGTTGCTTACCTCCGAGAGGTCTTAGTGGGGCTCCGTTGTGGCGTATGCGCGGCCCAGTGGGGCTCCCATTGAGCTCCAACCGGCCCTTCTTCCCTGGCGGTGGGAGGCCGCTGAGGTCCGGGCTGCCTCCCCTCCGCTCAGGACTGTCCTGGGTGATGGGACTCTCCCCTCCTCGCTCCATCCTCCTCCAGACCCCCAGAGGAGCTCCAGCCAGAGAGAACGAGTCTGGCAAAACATAAGGAAATAAAATGGTGACAAGAATACAGGTTGGCATCATGTCTGGGTTTTTTGAGGGGCAGTAAGTGTACGGTATGAATAGAATTAAGGTTGGTGATATTTTATATATTTAAATTTATATTTTATATAGTTTGTATTGTCAACAAATGAAAAGAACAAAACAAGAAATTAGTCAATAACACCTTCTGTCGCAACTTGAGCATCAAATGTGTATTAATACGCAGCTGAAAATAGTCCCCAGCAAATTTCCTCATGTGTGAGTAACGTTTGCTAAAAACTACAGTGTCCAGCTGTTAAAGGACATAACGTCTTTTAAAAAGAAACAATTTTTTTATGACCTACTTTTACAGATTTATGTCTTCAGTAGGAACCGGTGGGCTTGTAGCCGAGTGCCACAGACAGGGAAGTGAAGTCAGAAAGTATTGAGAGGGACTAACACCTTGTTGGTTTTGGTATTTTCGTGCAATTTGTTGGCTATAAGAAAAAACATCCTTTATCCTACAAGGAATGGCTGGATTTAATTTAACAATTAAAATGTAGACAGTTGAGGAGATAGAGACAGTCCATCAGTGTTTGTTGGGACTGTAAAAGGTAGTGACAATGTAGGATCACTTGTGTGTTTGTGTTTAATATGTATGAGTACATATACACCATAACATGCATGTCCCCTGATAAGGGAGCGTCAGCCAAACTTCTAATCGAGGGTAATGGCATTAGAAACGCTGCCAGGCCAGACAGGGGACACATGCCAATGTATCAAAGAGCAGCCTCTCACTCAGGCCAAATGGACTGCTTTTATTTACATACGAGCCCCTGGACAATATCCGTGAGCATGTGTGACCCTCAATGAAGAAGAAAGAGATTAGAAACTGTCTGTGGAAACATGGTGAAGAGAGAGAAGAGAGCAAGCATGTGAGGTTTTTAGATTAGAGGATGGAAATCAAGTTAGTGACAGATTCAGGAGTGGAAAAACACAGAGTCTCTGTACTGAGTGACACTGGCCAGAAATTCACCAGAACAAATGAGGGAGAATCCGTTGGTTATTGTTTGAGCGTGATATATTCCACAGTGCTTGATTAGAGCCTCCCCCTCTCAGTTTTTAATATTTCTCCAGCTTTTACTGCTCCAGCTGTCGTAACTTTGAACAAAAGACAATGTTTTGTGTGGTAGTGTCTCTCTGTCCTTCTCCTCCTCCTCCCTTTTCCTCCTCTTTCTTTCCCGCTCGCCTTTTCTTTACCTTCTCCACCGACTCTCATTCTTACACAACAACAACACAGCTGAAAAACACCATACACCACAAACAAACTCTCAGTCTGAGAAGTATTAAGAGCTTGGGCAAAATTTCAAAATGTATAATAAATTAAAAACATTAGCTTTGGCATGATTAAAAAGTGTGGGAGGCGAAGAGGCCAAAAAATGTAAGTGGCAGAGTTTAATGAACGTGGCTGAAAAAAAGGAAAACAAGTTCAAAGAGTTACACAGAGTGGAAAGCAATGGGTTTAAATGTGAGTAAAGTGGTAGCTATAATTCACAATGTGAGGCTTGCTGAGAAAAAGAGAGGCTTTGCAAATAAATCTAACCGCTAACAATGTTGTAACTACAATAAAGAACAACTGAATATAATAGAACATTGAAAGAAATTCACTTGCTACTGTCGCCTGCCGTTTACAGCCTTTGCTGCTCTTCAGTGTGTTGACAAGTGTAACTTTACCTGCAAGACAAAGGGACAGACTAGTGAGGCTGATACTACAACTATTTAATATAGCATTTTTCACCTCTTATTTAAAAATGTATTTCTCTCGGACAGGTTCTCACCTGTTGTAGCTTCCCCCGCAATACTGATTATCCCTATCAAGACCTGGCCTTGCCGACATCTCACCATCTAACCTGGGGCACACACATCTACACACACACTATAACAGATACTCAGCAGATATCTCATCATCATCTCATCTCTGAACACGTCCTGCTTCCATTACATTTCATTTGGTATTTGACCCAAGCGATAAAGAATTTTATCGTGTTGTGCATTTTTCCGTCAACCCTCGCTCACTTGGTTCCATGACGGAGATAAGATGTGCCACCTCAACAGCAGCAAGTATTACCTTGTCAAATTATTACTAGGTCATGTGCGGTCACATGAAACATATTTTAAAGTGTATACATGTTTATTAACATATTTGTTAACTCGTACTTTTGGCACCCATACATGGAGGCTGGTATATAAACAGTTATGTTTATATATATATATATGTATATAAATGACATGTGGTACAGCACAGTTGTAATAATATAAAATATTCTTTGACAAACACTTAAATATCTGCATTAACTACATTAGTGAGTTAGAATTAATTTATTAAATGTTTTATACCGCTTGAATGCTAAATCTACATTTTAAACATTTTAAATCTACTTTTTTTGAGAAAGCAGGTCTTTTATTGTCCTAAATTAATATTTTATTTCAGTCTTCCTTTTGAAATAGCCGATAGTTACATAAATTGTTATAATGGTTCAAAATGGTGCACTTGGCCATGTGCAGGGCAACAATTCTATCTTTATCAGAGTTATTAATGTGTAGGCTACATATTATTAATGTTTAGGCTACGGACTTCCATTAGGATGTTATGGTTTAAATTTGTGTACAGTATTATATTTTGACATGTTGTGTGGAGGCTTCAGTGGGCCAAATGTACATTTACTCTAGTAGCCTACTAGCCTATATGTATGCTACTTTATACTACTCAACCACAATCAAGAGGAAATATTGTAATTTTTATTTCACTACATTTACTTGTCAACTTTAGCCAAATAATAAAAACATTTGTTTTTTACGGCATTAATCAAAATTACCTTACTAACAGTAGGACTAGGCTATATAAAGTAGCTAAAACTAGCTAACTGTGTAAAAGTAGTTAAAACTAGCTCACTGTATGCAAAGTTGTAAAGTAATAAACTAGCTCTATGTAAAGCAGTTAAATTGAGCTAACTGAATGTAACCTAAAGTACTTCAAACTAGCTCACTGTAAAGGAGTTAAAATAGCTCACTAAAGGAGTTCAATCAAGCTAAATTAGTGTAACTTAAAGTAGTTAAACAGCTCACTGTACATTAAGCAGTTAAAACTTTACAATGCTGCTTTAACATTGATGCACCAGTTTTAACAATCTAATAATTAGAGCTGAAATGGTAAGTTGATTAAAAGTACTTAGCAACTATTTTGATGATCAAGTATTTGTCTAAATCCTCTTTGATGCAAAAACATCAAATAGCCTATTTATTAGTTCCAATTAGTTTCTTCTTAACTGTGAAGACTTTCTGTGTTTACCTCCTATAGGATTGTAAACTGAACATATTTGCATTTTTAGACTGTTGGTCGGTTATGACATTTGAAGATTATAGCTTTATGATGAGTATTTTTCACACACATTTTATAGATCAAACAACTAGAAAGTAATAACTACAGAAAGGAGTATTTACTGATAATGATTTTGTGGGACATACGCAGGAATTTGCATATGTCCTCTTTGGACCTCTAATGGAGTATTTTTACACGGTTGTATTGATATTTTTACTTAAGTAAGTAAAGGAGTGAAGAAGAGTGTTCCAAAGTACAGCAAACAAATAGAAGTGAGTGATTCATTGAAACCTTGTACACCTCTTCTCTATTTTACTCTGCTTCATTGTTTCTTTCCACCTGGTTTCAGTGTAACACCAGAAAACAGTGATGACTGACATGTAAATAATAACTTGGGTGTGGACATGCGTGTCTCACGATATACTCAGAAACATCCCCCGGTCACAGACTGATAAATGCTAATCTATTTATGCCATTATTATGGGTATGTTGAGCAACAACCTTTTGTTCTAAAGACCATCTTTAAACAAATGTGGGCACGACTTGATAACTCTATGACGTATACAGTACATCAAATGTTAATACTAAAACACTAAAATCATAGATTTAGCAACACTGATATCAGCCTTCAAATGATTGTTATCTTCTGCATCTTAAATCCATCTGCATTGCATTGTTTGATAAGGTGTGTGATAGTTAAAGCTGTTAATAAAGAAGCGATAAGAGGAGCTGTTACATATCTGCTATGGAGAACAAATATAATGTCTTTTTGATAAGGAGAGAGCCATGAACCATTTCCCACTTTATTGCTTCTCAGGGCACTACCTCCCAGAGAAACTGTACAATTAATTATAAAGAATTTTCTTTTAAAACCGGTACATTTAAAAAAACAAATCTGTTTAAAAATAAGCTACTATATTCTGTGTCACTCATTGTCATTTTAATGGAAATGTAATCAACTTTCTGCTATGACACAGATGTCAGATGTTTGTCCCGCATTGTGTTTGATTCTGGGACAACCTCCTGTTTTGATGATAAGCCACTATCAAATTCCACATTATTACACATTCTAGACATAACAAATACATTCTGAGGGCCAAAGACAAGATTGCAGAGCAAAAATGTAGACACACCCAAAGAAATAGAAGAGTAAGACACAACAGCAAACACACCTATAAACAAGATGTCCAGCTCAAAGACGTAAACACACACAAACAGAGGCTAACATGTAATTCAAAGCCAGTCTAAACTCTACAAATCAGACTTCTGACAAACACTGATTGGTAGTCCCATCTATTTGAAAGACATATGGGATAATGACCGCTGTAACAAAGTGTAAAGTGGGAGCTGCAGAGCTCCATGAAAGCTTTTTAAATCCTTGTGTCATTGAATCTTACTTTTGCTCTCCGTCACTCTCTTTCTTGTGCTTTTATTTAGTCTAACCTGGATTAAGGTTTGGAATAACGATTTTATGTTGCATCCGGCTGTTTTAATGTTAAGCCTGTGATGAAGCAAGATGTGCACAAAATGTAAAAATTGAAGTGTAACAACCGGTAGGGTAAAACAAAAATGCTCCACAGTCAATGTATATTTCTAATGAAGAAGAATCCTGTTTTATGTTGCCTCCTGCCTCCCAACAAGCTCACACACACACACACACACGCGCGCGCTACTTCACTGTCATCCCATTGTGATAACTACACGAAACAGAGCATTAAACGCAGCAGCTCGAGACTCACTCACACACTTAAACGCTCTGAGATTGAGAGCAAGAGAGAAGTATAACAGGGATAATTGTGGGTGAAAAGTTAATGCAATCAGCCGAACAGCAGGATAAGATGTTCACTCTGAGCATGTATGAAACCAATGGATCTCAAAAGTGTTAGTTAAGAAATACAACTAACCTCTAACACAGCAGAGTTGAGGAGAGTAAGCCTCTGAGTCTGTCCTGCATGCTCTAACTGCCTCTCCAGTATCTCTTTTACCGTTACCACACGTGTCTGCTAATGAAGGGTTGTGCCTTTAACATGCAAACATGACAGATAGAGAGAGAGAGTGACCTATGAGGGCATTATTAGCACTGATAGCAGGGAGAATGAGAGAGGCGTTACCTATATAAGAAAATATCCCGATACAGCTGTTCTTCCTGTTTGAGATCCACTTTTATAGCAGGGTAATCAAGCTATTGGTTAATGCTTGGCTCTGCAGCACAGATAAAAGAAAGCATGGGTGGGGTGGGGGTGATATTAAAAGCCCTGCTGTCCATGAAACACACATGCATGTATGCACATTGAGGGACAGACACAATGAAGCTGGGTTGTGTTAAAATGCCCGCTGTTGCACTTCCATCACAATTAACGTGCAACAAAAAACACTCAGGGGGAAGCACAACGGTCCTCCTTCTCCGATTTTCTTTTTTAAAGTCTGGAAACAAAATGGGGAAGAACACAAAGCTTTTGTTTTTATGTGGCTGTTTATGAGAAATGATTGCTGTTATAGGGAAGGCAACATTATTGTGGAATTTGCCGTTTATGGGCATCAGATGTGTCACAGAGAGAGTGATGTGATGTGGGGGAAGTTGGTGAGAGGAAGACATGACCTTCATGGCAAACACACTCAAACGCAACTTTTTGTTGTAGCTCTGGAGAGGGTCCACAGGCTCAAACACACACAAACACACACTCAAAGAGGGAAATAACCACGGTGAGAGGGCGGCGAAGGCCTTCTGGCAAACATGTTTGGCTCTCTCGTAAACATCTCATTTGATAATACGGGATGAAGAGTTAACAGCGAGCATTTATAGCCTCGCCCTTCCAGCTAGAGGATGCACACGCATGCATAAACACACTCACACACACAGACAGACACTAAGCCGCACAAACCACAGCCAGTGCGCTACACAGACTCTCTGCTTTAACACTTCCAGGGACCACACACTGACTCAGAATACAGCCACACACAGCAAGGACAAATAAGAGTGTGAAGAGCAAACACACGTGCATGTATACAGTACACACAACAGCCTTATGACATGTAGTTCAGTGCAGTGATACAACTTCTGTGATGAGGTGTTATATTGTCCACCCCTGTACAAATACACATGCACACATGAGTGGCATGTCAGACATTTAGAGGGCCGATGCAGCTCAAACAAAAATGGTCACATGTTAACAATGTCCACACACACACACACACACACACACACACACATATACACACCCCGATGCCAAACCCGTCCACCACAGCTCCCACAAGGCCTCACCAGAGTGGGAGTAACTGTGGGGAGTTCAGGTCTCAGCTTTCACGTGCCCGAGGTTTCTCACTTACATTAAAATACAGGAATTTACCATCAACAATCAGCCCGTGATCTGACGATGAAATGTGCACTAGAGAGAGACTATAGTGATCTGAGAGTGACGCCCACAGCCGGAGAGAGGAGCATCATTAGTGCCCACAGAGCTTCTCCACTATCTAATCTGCAGTTTAATAGCACAGACACACCCATATTACATGGAACAGATGGGTTCAGGCATACAGAGGGTAAGAACGGAGAGGGAGACTTACTTATAGGCTATTGAAGTTGGGTGGGGGGTTAAAAGTTAGATTATTAATTTCCTGCTCTAAATTAATTGTTCCAGCCTGTTATTCTTGATTGTCAGAAAGTAACAATAAATGGGAAATAATTTTTATTTCAGCTACTGGAGAAACTAGAGGCTCAAAAAAGGCTTTTTTTTGTATGCATGCAGTTGCAGACCATAAATAATTTGCTCATCAGCATCAGTGTCTTCCATCCTCTCCTCAACACTTGGCTGCAGAATGAAAAAAGCCTCAAAGATTTGCGTGCACACACATATTAAACCTCAGTGACAGCCAAAGAAAATATGACTTTCCTATTGTTTCTGATACTTTTTATACATGAACCCTCCTCCCCTTTTCACATCCCGACAGAGTCTGCGCGGCCCGTCAACTTTTTTTTTTAACATCTGAGCAAACTTTAAACTGACAGACAGGCCACAAACATGGAGCGGCTGCAGAAAATTTCCCATCACACCGACTGAAACGAATTCGTTTTTCCTCGCGGTTGGCTCAAAAAAATGCCTGTATTTATTTTTTTTAACTCATGTAATTTTTTTTTAATAATGTTTTTTTAAAGATGCTCTAGCCTAATGGATGAAAAGAAAATGGCTGCGTGCAATGTAATCACGGTGCTGTCATTGTTTTTAAATTCATTATCAGGCCTATTTTAATTAAATTAATACTATTAATACGTGTAAAAAAATGCTTTTTCTGCTCTAAATATTAATCTGAAACCAGATTATCATAATTCTCAATCCACACTTTGCCTGCTCAGGTGAGAAATCTTCCCACCAAAACAAGGAAAAGTGAAGTTTGACGTTTCCGTGAAGCTGGCCTTTCACACGTGTTTCATTTACTAGGAGAAAAATACTGCAAACATAAACGCTGTTTGGATTCCTGGTGGTTTGGAAAAGAAGAGTCAGCCTGCTGTTTCTTTTAAAGGTCAGAGAGGACGGAAGGCTCCAGTCTGAGGCTGAACGTAGACTGCTGTCAGTGTGGAAGGCCCTGCTTTCATGCAGAGAGAAAGATGCATTTAAAAATCAGAAGCGTCACCTTGTTCATGAAACCTTTTGTCTGACCTGTGACTTTTATCCAAATTGCGCAATTAATAAAAAAAATGCATTTGAGGGTTTGGGTTTGAATTCTTGTGTGTTTAGTGCGGAACAAACTATTGCTCTTGACACGGCGGTCTGCAGACGGACTGTTTCTCATAAACGCATTTGGCTTCAGTTTCTTCAAAGCGAAGGCCTTTTAAAACGTCTGCACAGTGACCGATCAGACCCAAGCTGTGATCTCTGCGTATTTCTGAATGTCTTTTCAGCCACTCTGAAGACGTCTTTGCTCGAGGTTGCCGGGTGTTTACTGTCCCGTGTGTTGCAGAGGTTAAAAGGCGCTTGTAGCTGCAGAAAACTTCGACACCTCTCTGCTCCCTCGGTATGTTTTATTCATCACGGTGTCCTCCTTTACAGGTGAATTTGCAGTTTGAGTAAAACGGATGCTTTTTTTTAAGCTCTGCACGTGTTAAACAGTAACATCAGCAACACCTCTCAGTAATCGGGCCATTAATTATTGTTTTTAAAGTTAAAATGTCACAAGATGTTTTCTTATCCGTGTTTTAATCTACACACACACACACACACACACACACACACACACACACACACACACAGGCCTACACACATATAACTTGAAGTGATAAAGTTTTGGAATAAATTATTGTAAACGTGTGCGAGAAATCAGAGCACTGCCTGCCGAGGCTCCAAAATAGCCTTTTAAAAAGGAGCAAAATCTAACTTTAAATATTTAATAGCCTACAGATTGTTAGAGTTATCTAATAACTTTGTATGTGATTTTATTAACTTCGCTTGTTTTATACTCAAAATACTTTAAATACAACTAGCCTAATATTTCGTAAAGAATAACAGTAAAGGACATGTATTTTACATCAAGACACACCAAAGTGCCAAGAAGCTGAAATAAATATGCCTCAATTTGTAAAAACGCTAGCAATTAGGCCAAATTAAGTATTATTATTAAAAAAACGACGACTAATTTAGAAAATAATAATTATTGGTATAATAATATTAAAATAGATGGTTAGATATTATTAAACGAATATGCTACAATAAACGAATAATAACAATGATGATCATTTATAGTTAGTTGCAATAACTAAAGGGACAGTGACATTGATCCAAAGTAAAAGTTTGCTATTATTATTGGATCCATTTTGTAATAATTGATCCTTTATATTTACTGCATTATACTTTACAGGCAGTTTGGTGCACAGACGAGCATGCAGTCTTCAGCACAGAACTTCAGTGTGTGTGTGTGTGTGTGTGTGTGTGTGTGTGTGTGTGTGTGTGTGTGTGTGTGTGTGAGAGAGAGAGACTACTCACTGTTTACGGCGTGTCTGTAGCGCTGCTGGCCGCTGAGGAGGCTCTGTCCATTGATCAGGAGTATTGAATCCAGGGCTGGGCTGTGGTTCGGCTCCTGGATACACGGGGGTTCACGTTGGTATTGTTCTGAATCTGGACTCGACGTCGGAGCCGGACCGGAGATCCACAAAGACAAAAAAAAGTTAGTTAGCCTACTGGTGGCGTTGTTTGAGGTGTGGGAGGGATGTTGGGTGGGATGACAGCGCGCAAAGCAGCGGAGTGAGTGGAGATGTGGATGGACGCAGGACGTGGACTGAAGATGCTCGTCTGTGGGGATGTAGTGGCGGAGAGGGAGACTTGGTGTAAGGTTAGTGGTCTGTCCCGAAGCCACGGACTATGTAGTGGGTCCCGAGCGCCCAAACAAACTTGATATTTTAGATGCAGTCTCCACTTTTCCCCCTTCCTTCCTTCCTTTGTAGGTCTGTCCGCCTTTTAGCTCAAAACGCGTCTCTGTGACAAAGGTCTGCCCTCCTCTGAACTCATGGCTTCATCCTCGGAAGAGAGAAAAAAAAAAGCGCAAATAAAACGCGACACAGCTCGTGAACAAAACACTCGTGAACGGAAACAAAACAACCCGGGAAGCAAAGACAAAACACGTACCGGACCTAAAAGCAAACACCCGGTGAGTCTGAGTTTCAGTAATAGCGGGATTTATCGGCGCAAAGGACCGGTTTCTGATCAGAGTGTGTCACTTTCAATCTTTCCTGTGCCAACGGGCGCACTGACTGATAGAGGGAGGAGAGAAGGGAGGAGAGACAAAGAGAGAGGGAAGGGAGGGAGTAGAGGGGGCGTCAAACAAAACTAATCTGACCCATGAAAGCATTTTGTGGGCCGGATCTATACATAACATGATACAGAAGTGTTCACCAAAACGCATCCAGACCAGGAGGAGAGGGGGGGGGGGGGGGGGGGGGGCGTCCTCGACCATAGACTACATTCTCCTATCAGATGTTTAAATGCCTGTTTTGACTTTAAGTTACCTCCCTTCCACATTAACAGTTGCGTAATACTTTTCTAAATCATATCTCACTTACATCTCCTTCTCGGGGCTTCCTATCAGAGACCTTGACATTAAAGAAAGAGAGAAGCGCTCCGTTGTGGCTTCTCTGCGACTGTAATATTTCTGCTTCACGCAGCAGTAACTTATCGTGCTGCTATCAGCGCTGCAGGTTCCCTCTAATACTTTCACACATGTCAGTAACATCCCGCTGATAATCCGTCCGAGCTGAAGTCCATGCACTGATACATGTTAATAAGTAGCCTAATAATAAGTAAAAGCCTCTCTCTCTCGTTAGCAGATGCACGGGGTCAATACAGCAGCAGTGTGCAGTGTTGTGGGACCCCTGTTATTGATAAACCTGTGCAAACTCTTCCTGCTTCGTGTCAGACAGCAACGGAGCTGTGCGCGTGTGCCGTGAGCGCGCACAGCTGACCAGACCATGAACTGACCAGGTCATAGTTTGTGTGTTGCTTAAAACGCAGCTCTTTGCACCAGAGCGCGCGCGTTGTCTGTGGCGCGCGGTCCTCCCTGTGTCCTGCATTTTACTGAACATCCAGTGTGAAGCTGCTGGTTCAAGAGTTCAAACTGAAAATACAGAGAAATCCTCTTTCTCTATTTATAAAACGTGCTCGTGTTCCGGCTGAGTGTCAGGTGTGTGGAGCTAATGCAGACACCTTATTTCCCAAATCAGCAATACTGACAATTAATTAATTAAATTACATGGAATATATTATATATCACCTACATACCTAGGCCTATATAGCTGGTGTGTCTATATAGGCCACCAACAAATTGAATGTTTTCTGAATGCAAAACAACATTTTATTCTACAAATATCAGTTTCATAAAGCCATGCAGGAAAGTTAAAATGTGTGTTTTTTAAAGTGTAGAAAATGCAGGTGTGAATGAGATCTTTTTGTGATAAGTGGTGATTTACATCATTACTTATTTAAACCACACAAGTGAATGTAAATGTATTTTGGGAGAAATAAGACCAGAAACTATCATAATTAACTCTTTCGTAAATATTTGATGTTGTTCAAATCATTCCAAAGTATTTTTGTGCAGCTCAATTCCTGTTTCTGAGTTCCTTCTTTTCTCAGTTGAGCTTCCGAGGCTCAGATTTGTATGTACCACTGTATATACGGCCTCACGGTAAACTGCAACAAGGGAGCCTTTCATACACACTTTAACAAGAGCATGCGTAACCGAATTGAGCAACACAAGTGAAGCCACAGGTTTGCAACATCTGCAACACTGACTGTGCGTAAAATGCGTCCAAGCCTGTTGGCAGCAGAGTTTTCATGGAGCGATGTGTTGAGAGGAACCGCGGCGGGCAGCAGTGAGAAGGAGTACCCTTTCCTCCTGGCCTCTGGTTGTTCAAACCGTGAATAGTGTGGCGGGGTCCACTAAAAAGAGCGCGCGAGAGCAGTCGTGCGCGTAGCTTTCCAGGAAAGAGGCTCAAGCTGCGATTCATAGCTGCACAGGCCTTCTTTTTGGGGGTTTGTCCTCTTGGTCAACAGCAGGTAGCGTTGTGAATATTCTGTGAGAATTAAATGACTGAAAATCACCGTAAAACAAACTTTTACAGATACACGAGCTGCCTGAAGTCACCACGACAGAAAGCTCTTTAGTTTTAATTAGAACCGGATCTGCTTTGGAGAGAGAAACGAGTCTTTATGAAGTCTAACTCTTTACCACTTTACATTTACAGTCACATTTAAGGCATTAGTCTCGCGCACTACATCAGGAGCATCATCACCATCAGCACACAGTCACTATAAAACACTCACCTTTTTTTAATGAAGCCTGGCTATCAGCGTCAGGACACCTGGCAGCTCTTCTGCTCCACAGATGCAAAGTGAGAATTAACTGGAAACAGACGGTGGCTGAGAGCCAGTCCGCTCCTCGCTGCTCATTCGTCAATATTATTAAATATGATAATGACGGTGATGATGATGTCGATGCGCACTGGTGAGACTGTGCAACAGGAATAAATACAGGCCTAATGACGGTGAGATGGCGAACTGTGTGTGTGTGTGTGTGTGTGTGTGTGTGTGTGTGTGTGTGTGTGTGTGTGTGTGTGTGTGTGTGTGTGTGTGTGATAGAGAGGAATAGGCCTATGTGAAAGTAACTTATTAAACTGTTTCTGAAAGCTAAAATATCAACATTAACAATGGCTTTGATTTTATCTTGCAGATTGTGGCGAGGCTTCTTGCTGAATTCTTGCAGTTATTTTAATTTCATCGTAAAGGGCTCATTAGAGGTTGGAAATAAGAGCGTTAAAATCCATTTAAAGCTTTACTTCTCACCATACAGGCTGTTAAACCCAAAGTGTCTGCGGTTTTTGGATAAGGCGATATTAAGCTCCACACTGTTCCATTTCGGTCGCTCTTTATCATATGACATGCAGCATTTGTAGTATTTTTATATGTATAATGGGCAGTTATCTTTAAATTAATTTGATGGTTGGAAACTTGATACACCTCTTGTCACTCCTGCCGGATTCACATAAATATTTTCTTTGGTTGTTGCTTCACAAGGTACTTTAAATTTGGAGTATCATGCATGTAGTTCATTTTAAATTAATTTCTGCTGAAAATTTTGGATTCAATATTTAATCCCTGCAGTTAAAATGATGAACCTTTGCATGCACAAAATCCAACAACAAAAATACCAGGGGGTGAAAAAGTAAATTACAGACTCAAAGTCATGATTTTCTTTCTCTACAATTTATCTCATATCAGGGGAAAAGACATAATGGTGCCTTATTTTGTCAACTTATATTCAGTGTTTACGAACAGCAGTGAAGCGGGGACCATGAACATTACGGGACTGTATTTATTCAAAGAAATGTTCTGTTAACTAACTGCATCGTGTGCATCTCATCTCATCACTCGGCTGCAGCAGGCGCAATGAATTATTGAAGCCCGGCAGGGAATCGTTTGCCTGCAGAGCTCCTCCGCTGCATCACTTACCAACTCCTTCTCTTTATCTATTTTCCATTTCTTGGGGAACTGGGAATCTAGGAACGAGCCCAAACAAGCGTAAAAAAGACTCCACAATGTCGTGAAGTACAATGAAATATTGATCTCGGAATAACCCCGATGGAAAACAAAGTCAGAGGACCTGTGTGAATAATTGAGAAGCTTGTGTAGAACATGATAGTGATTGGAGAGTAATGTGGGGCAGCTACAATTATTGACAACTCATTTATCGCACAGGTAAGTGTGTGTGTGTGTGTGTGTGTGTGTGTCGTGACCTACCTACCTACCATCCAGCCTTTAAAAACTACCAAAAAAAAAGCAGCATAAAGAAAAGAATAACACGCTTTTATTTATTTCACATCCAAGGAGCAGATCCATTTATATAAAGTGACCCTGTGATTTTAAGCAGAGCACAAAACTCATTTAAAATTCAAGAAGTCAGCAGAATAATTTAGAGAAGAATGCATCTGGCTTGGATCAAGCAAAAATGAAACATTAACAAATAACCATAGTTAGTCCTATGGCCTTGAATTTACATTATGGAAGCCTACAGGCATCACACACACTTACATCAACTACATTTACTTTAAGCTTAAACTTGATCTACTTTTATCTCTGGTTAAATCTCAGTCTTCATTTTAAAGGAACAGAATGACACAAATGTGCTTTTCTGAAGTGTTTTGCTGTTCATCTTTTGATGCTCACAACTTTTACCCCGCTTTTTATTTGCCACTGCAGGTTATATGTGTCTGTCTTTGTCAGCTGGAAGCGGTGATTTTTTCAGACGTCTGCTTGTCACCTTTGTTAAGTGAGTGTAGGGACAGAGAAAACCATAAGCATCATTTGTGCAAACAGCGCAGCTGTGTGGTGAAGAGGAAAAGACAGAAACAACAGAGAAAACTGGAAGAAAAAACACACCACCAGCCACCAAACGCTATTCATTTAAAGCCACATTAAATGACATTTCTACATCTAAGGCTCTGCAGATTGAGAAATACTTTTATCTTCTCTATTGGTATAATATTCACAAATAGGTTTACTCTCATTAACCAGATGTAAGACTTGAGATGTAGAGAGTGCATCGAGGTTGCAGCCTGTTAACCTGCTGAAAACGTTATTATTACACATTAATACAAATATCAGGACATCTTTAAAATATTTCTACCGGTTGTTCTTCGTAAGAAAGCAGAAACATTTGAAGAGAACTGTTATAATGTTGTACTAATATGCTGAAAAATGCTCTCAGAGCTGCCCTGACTGACTGACAGTAAGCTGAGAGTAGATCAGACATTTCTTAATTATAATTCTTAATAAATTCAAATGTCCTTCTGTTTCAGATGCGAACGCGAACGCAAAAAATGGATTTTCTTCCCTTCTCACATCGCCATTTCTCTCCACAGAGCGCAGAATCACATGCATGGCTGGTCTGTTGGGACTGGTGGCGGGAGAAATCCCCTCAGATGATGGGTGAGACAAGTCGTGTCAAAAACAAACAAATAAATAAACAAATAAAAGAGGCCTTCAAGAGCAAGATATTAAGTCAAGTCACTCATGGACAAAAAACTTGAACTGGAGAGTAGACCTGGGGATTCAGGTTCAGGCGTGAAGCAGAAAATAACAAATAGAATAAAAAATGAAACATTGTGATAATATTGTATTGTTGAATTAATAACAATCATTAAACACAGTAAATCCGATTGAAATAGCTCCATATTTAGGCTACTACTATTACCAATAATAATAATAAAGATTCGAAATTAACCTGCAGATTAACAAAGAACTTTGTTAATTGTACCCACATTATTATTATTATTATTATTATTATTATTATTATTATTATTATT